CATTCCAATATGCTGCTGTTTTCTTTTGAAGATCAGTAATTGATTCTTCTAATAATGAGCCTGCATCTTCAGGATTCAATAATACTATTGCAGGTTGTCGAACATTAATTTCTTTTGTTCCTCGATATTTGTCAGAAGCCTATTCATAAAAGAACATATTCATAATAATCGGTATAAATGAAGAATAGATAAGAAAAGAGAAAAAAAGTTTCGTTTTCTTTTGTTTTGTGTGTTTTACTTACACTTATTTTATATTTTTTTTTGTGTTAGTAAATTTTTTTTATTAGGAAAATTAAGTTTATTAAAATCGTCCCATGGAATATCATCATAAACTGAATATCGAGCATAATTATTCCATGCATCTAAATTCCATCGTTCTTGAAAATAATTAACACGACCAGGTAATGACATTGCAAATGATGTTTTTCCTGTACTAGTTGGTCCAATTATAATAAGACATTTTGCACGTGATGAACGATTAAATTCTTCTTTGATCCAACAATTCATAGCTTCACCTATAACATTAACATATATATGTTTGTAAGAAAAAAAAAAAAAAAGAAGAGATTCATTTGGTAATAGTTATAGACTTACGTAATTGTGGTGTACAATGTGGAAATGAATGAGGCCAAATATAATCTTTATCAATTTCACCTCTTTGATCACCTTCACGTTGTGCTCGTAAATGAACATAATTGAATATTGCTAAATACCTAAAACAAGAATAACAGATAGAGAGTTACTAATAAAAGTTTTTGTTTTTGTTTAACTATACCAGCTACCACGTTCAACAAATTTGCCAATCATTTCTTGTTTAATGAGATCCATAGCATGATCAACATTGTTTTCAGCTAATTTAATTGCTTGTTTATATATTTCAAGTTGATGTTGACGTTTTTCTTCTGCTTGAGCTTTTGCAGTTGTTGCCTTTGGTACTACAGATGGATGAGGAGGAGGAGCAGGAGCAGGAGGAAGATTCATTGTCGTTGTCGTAACAGGTGATGTTGTTCTTGTACTAGATGTAGATGGTGATCGAGACCGTGGTGATCTTGACGAAGGTGATGATGATAATGATGGCCATTGTTTTGAACCACGTGTTGTTGTTGATTTAAATTCATTAAATTCAATACAATTACCATCTTTTTTAATATATTCATTCCAAGCTAGATCATTGCGTGTTACTTGATAATTACAATGTGTTTGTGTTGTATCATCAAGAAATGGTTTTCTTCGATCAATTGTTTCTTTAAAAATAATTTGTATATGTAAATGTTGTTGATGATTTAATTCACTAATTTCTTCACCAATACAAATATATTGAATATTTTCAATACCAAATTCTTCTTTGATTTTCTTCATAACAAGTTCTTTTGATACATTTGTCATTGATGTAATAGCAAATGATTTTCCATGTAATCGAGGAATATATGAGGTAGGTGAAGATTGAAGATTAAAATTACATTCTTGTGCAATTATTTGTCGATTAAGATGACCATATTTAGCATAAGGACGATCATGATCTTTTATCTGACCTGTTTGATTCATAGGTGGATATGAATGTTGTGTTGTTATAACTGTAATAATGGATGGTGATGTTAAAATTTGTTGTTGATCTTTGTTGTTATCATTTACGTTAATTAATGTTCTTGCTTTCATTTGGTTCAATGTAAGATCTAATTGACTGATCATCACTTGAGCAACTTCATCATCGATAGGTTTTTGATCTGTAATGAATTGAGAAAGTTGTTGCATTTCTTCATCTCTTGCTTTATTGAGAATTTCATTTAAGTCTTGTTCATTGTCGAAATTGATTTTCTCTGGTTCTTCTTCTTGTTCGTCTTCTTCTTCTTCTGTCATAATTTGATTTGGTTTACTATCCACAATAGATAGAGTTATATGAATATTTTGATGAGAAGTTGTATTGCTTGTTGTCTAGATAAATATGAAAATTTCTTTAAAAAAAAAAAATAATACTGTCACATGTGTCACTTACTATATTTAAAGTTGTTGGATCATCCGAAGAGAATTGATTTGGAGAAGTGGTATTGTTTAATTTCGCTTTTTTAATATCAATTGTATTTGTAATGGACATATTTGATTGAATAGTATTTTTTTCTGCCATAGCCAATTTTTATATGGTTTACGTATATATGTTGAAATATTATTCGAATATCAATTGCAGAACTACAAAAAAAAAAAAAGAAAAAAAAAAAAAGTAAACTGTAGAAGTATTTCAAAGTTGGAATGATAGATAAAGATTTATTTTTGGGGGAAAGAGTATAAGGAATTCAAATGATATGTAGAAAAGTAGGATAATGTAGATAGAGAAGAGATTGGAATATATAACTAGTATAGGACTGTATGTGGTATAAGCAAGTAGATACTAGTAACAAGAATACTTGGAAAGTATAGGTAGAAGATGGGACGATGACAGTAAGAGAAAAATGAAGTATCACATCAAAATGAACACATTTAAAAAGAAAAACGCGCAAACATAAACATTCAATGAAAAGATAGAGAGAACAAACAAGTAGGCGCAGCGCAAGGGAAAAAAAAGAAATTATAAAAATGACTTACTTCGACCATCGACAATTGTAAAATGATTGAATAACTGGATATGCACCTCTATTTATAGATGTGTTCGAGAGAGTGAATTAGAGAAATAGATTTTTCCCCAATTTCTATATTTTCTCTCTCCGTTCAACGACACTAATAGATGAACATTTGACCAAAAACGAGAGAGAGAGAGAGAGACAGAGAGAGAGACAGAGAGAGAGACGATAACAACTAGTGAGAAAGAAAAAGACAACAACAACAACAGACGACAATAAACTATAATAGATGACACCTAAGAATGAAAAAAAGAAAAAGACAACAACAACAACAGACGACAATAAACTATAACAAATGACACCTAAGAATGAAAAAAAAAAGAAAAAGACAACAACCACAACAGACGACAATAAAGTACGAGAGATTACTATAAATTAACACAAACAATACTAAACTAACACAGACGGCAAGATATGTCGCACCCTAGACGATAACGACAGAGGTCAAATAGCGGACAATGGTAAAGGTCGTGCCCTGGATGACGCATTAACAATATACTGAAGTTAGGTCTAAAAATGTCATAGCTTCTATGAA